AGCTTGACCACTGTATAGATGTAGGCTGTGTGTCCAGAGGGCAACACTTTGAGCACTTGTGAACATTGGAAATTTTGTATGTAACTTTATATTCAGCCATGTATTTTAAATTTAGCATTTTATGAAAGTTGGACCTTATTTGACATTGAAGACGAGGTCTGAAGTCCAAATTAATGTGATATTTACAATACCCAGATATGATTCCCTATGTGTCTATATGTTGCCAATACAAACAATGGCAGTAGGAAACAGAGTTTTAAATAGCTCTATGCAGCGTTATTGTCACTTTGACATTCAGATCAATCTATTGACCTTGAAGGAGAGGTCAAATGTAACATGATATTTAAAATCTTTATACCTATGTCGACAATACACGCCACAGTCGTAAGAATAGTTATAGGCTTTTTGTCAATTTTCGACCAATAAATCTTCGAGTTGCAATTTAAGACTGTGGTGGGTGTAAGCCAAATTTGAATGGATTATTAACATGAACCCCCCTCCACACACTACAATATTTTATCAAGATTTATTTAAAGCTTTTAAACCTATCATATTTACAGACAGAAAGAATAACCTCATTGGTGGAGGTAACAAAACATTACCCAAGCCAGACGAGTAACACTAATCCTAAACAGGGTGCCTGGGACCTAGTGTGCGTTATGATGACGAACAATTTCAAATGAAGCTTTTCAAACAAGACTTCCCAAAGCTGTGAACAGCTTTCAAAATATGTGGACTCTCCTGAAAAGGTGAGTCTGTGTTGCTATATTTACACATCCACTATAACCTGAAACACTCACCTCTCTGCATATGATTTCAAATCTAAAGATGAGCTGTGTAATACACCCAAACACACCACACCAATATTAAGTATTCTAAACAGACTCTATTAACACTGTTGGTTTAAAAACTCTGTTATATTTGACCTTGGAAGTTTCATATATAGTTTTCCTCCAGTGACAGGTTTATGCTTTACAGAGGTGCCCAGATGTTTTATAACTAACGTCCACACTGGACCGTGGCTAGAGCGAATTTGTGCAGCAATAAGTACAGGGTGGCTGCTGGTCACAGAGTCTTGTGGGAAAGAGCCCATGAAATCACATTTTCACCAAAGTGGAAACTATTAAGGCCTGAAAAGTGTTGTGCTGTGCAATTCCTTTCAGTAGTGACTCAGACATTCTTGAAATATTAAAGACAACATTAGCTTTAAAGCCCTTGTAATTTTTCCTATCAAGTGGCTGATCAAAGCAGACGGGTCGGTTTTGGCGTACTCCTCCACAAAGATTTGTCATAAACAGGGCAGGGAGACAGTTTGGCCTATTACTAAAGTGCTTCAGGCATAGGGTGCATAAAGGACAACTAATTTTCCTCTAACTTTGCTTAAAAAGTGGTCATTAAAACACACAATTAAATGCACAGTAAAAGACAGCAAGCCTAAAGCCTAGAAGACTTTGATTGACTTTTTTAACCTTTCTTTTTCTGCACATCTGTTGAGCATATTAAAAAAGAGCCAGTGCAGAGAAACCAGCATTACAATGCAAGAGATAACTAAAATGCATAACAGGCTGTCCACTCGGAATCAGCCAATTTTCGAATGCATGTCTGTTTTCTCTTTCCTGCATTTCTATGCAAGGAAACTCTTCTTCCCTATTTCTTAATGAGCCCAGTTCTGCCAGGAAGCGGCCACACATGCAGCCAAAACAAGTATGATGCATTCTGGAACATGGCTGCATGTACTGGAAATAATTAGTTCCATGGTTTAATTTCTGGTTAATGACAACATTCAGTGCTGTCATGAATACTGACAACAGGAGGACTGATCCTCATAAACCATAAAACAACGTCCCGCTGAGATCCTCCAAACTGAATATCATCAGGAATATCCCCAAAAATCCGGCAAGGTGTTGTCAGTAAACAGCACACATGCGCTCGTCAACCTGTTTGGCGGTTCTGATTCATTCCAACCAAGAGTGAGCAAACGACAGGACAGGAAAACAAGCAAAATGATAAGCCCAGATTTCTCAGGACAGGGAGCTTGCTGATCTGATCTGATCTGAAGTCAGGGAGCTTGCTGACTTCAGATCAGCTGACTTCTGTTGAATCTTCTTCTTTGAAGTGATTCAACGTTAATGACATCACACTTTGATCTGAATGAATGTATATGAATGTAAATGATTGAAAATGTTAGTGTATAATTTATGCTTTAAAACAATTAACAAGTGAGATTAATTTAGTCGATGTGGATTTTCTTTTAACTTTAAGGCCCCACACTTTGAACATGAATCATGGATCTTTGTTCACAGTTTACCTAATTTCAGAATTAGATTGCATCCCTCTTCATTGGATGAAAAGCAGCTCATAAACCACCAAGCTTTTAGCCATCCACTCTATTCTAGTTCCATTTGGTGATTAATAAGAATCACTGTGAAAACAGGCGATGTGAATGTCAGTTTAAGATGACAAAGTTAAAAACTGTTCTATTAATTTATTCTTACCGGGTCCGATCAGTGCGTTCCTACTCAACCTTGCCTGTATTGCTCAGAACAGTGAAATAGGAGACAGAGTGACATTACACAGAGACAGATGTTTTAAGGTCAGAGAGAAGAAGAGGGGCCTATTAGACATGCGTGTAGAACAATCCCCTTGCTTTTGCTATTCACAGTCACAGAAAGACAAAGATAAGGAAGTAGAAAAGGTGAAATGGCTTTGCCCTTCTCATTCACTGCACAACAGATAAACTCAGATCATCTGGCAGACTGGAGACATTACTAATCCGGCTCAGTTGGGATTCAGGGGGGAAGTGCTATTGTTCTCAGAGTGCCATTAAACTCCCCATCAACTGGAGTGCTGCTCACAACCACTGACAGAGAGGAGGTATATCGTATACTGTTCAAGCCTTGGCTGTGGTCTGCATACACGGTCTTGAGCTACCGGCTGCGATCAGCATGATTTATGGAGAGTTAAAGCGTGAGGTGTGAAAAAGTGAGTGAGGCAGCAAGGAAGGAAGGAGGAAGGAGATAAACATACAAATAGAAAAAAGGAAGACGAGGACAAACAGAATTGGACAATGTGTGCAAAAGTGAGCATGGAGGTGACTTTGGAAGTGGATGGAAAGGAAACAGTTTGCCTTTGCTTCAGTTCAACTATGCGATCACTTAAAGAAGAAAAGCACATACACACATAGGTCACTGAGAGACGAAGTGCTTGATTCGACCGTGGTGTCTGAAATTAATCAGTGGGTGACACCAACAAAATCTCCTACCATAAGGCCATCCTGTGTCCTTCGGACTGAGAACGCACTGATCTGACACCCATGACGTGACCTTAATGTTATGACTCAAAGCTAAAAGTCATCAGAATTACTCACAAGCTGAGTGAAATGAACCAAGCGGGTCCTTAAGAAAAAAAAGTGCTCACTCCATCTACCACAACATAAGCAAAATCCTGAAGTAATACTTACACGTACATTTCAATAGTATTCTCATTTGTACAAAAATTATACATGAAAAAATGACAAAAGGTGAATTTGTTTCACCCTAAAGAGGGTCAAACTGTAACTCTAACATGGTACTCTAAGTCACAGGTGCTAATCCTCCCAATAACCCTACAGTCTATATAATGAGTAGATTTTGATGTGTACTGATTATAATAATTATTTTATTTTATTTTTATTTTTTTGTTATCTGTTTGCCAAGACTTTGAAATAATGTAATAAAACCACAAATGACATATTCCAATCACAGGGTTACAGTTATGGTTAGGGAGTTTTGCTGACGATGACTTAGATCTCAGAGGGCCTGGCCAATCTAAACCCAAATGCTTGGTATATACACCTAAGCCTACCCACCTTTGATCTGAGGTCAGCATTTTTTAATAGACCCATTTGGGGTTTGATTTCTGTGCTTTTTCTTGTGTGCAACACACAGTTTAGGGGACCCTGAGTAACTTCCTGCAACTGTTGACCCTTAAACCATTTTAAGTTGATTAACTGAAATGTGGTGAGTCACAGAGAGATTTCCACTTTCCAAACCTCCATTAATAGGTCCCCAGTAAGCTAGTAGATGTTAAGAGGATAAATAAAGCTTTTCACATGTCACAGCTATACTGTGTGTGTATATCGTATAATGCCAGTGTGTTAATGACCTGTGTTAGAGTCAGAATTAGAGTCAGAATTAGCGTACACCCTGGACAGGTCATCAATCTGTCAACGGGCTTCAGGACAATTAAAATAACACAAATGTCCTTAAATTAAAGTTTGGCTTACATCAGACAGTAAACGTAAAAGCATAAAAATAAACATATATAATAATAATGATAAAAAAAACCTGAAAAAAACAACAACCCTGATTTGATTCTTTGGATTCACTACTTCTGCTAATCATACGGTTGCACGCATGAATCAAAAAGCAAAGAACCTTATGCAAGGCAGTAGAAATACAAGTACACTAACCAATACAAACAAGAAGAGATTGATTCATTCTGTCACACTTACTTAAAAGAGACATAAAAAGTTAAGTATATATATATATATCATATATTATAATTCTATATATATAATTATATTATTATACTATACTTATACTATATTATACTATAACGATATCCTACTTACTATCTCATTAATATCAAATGCAATACATAATACTAAAAGAAGAAGAAGAAGAAGAAGAAGAGGAAGAAGAAGAGGAAGAAGAAGAAGAAAAGCTAAATTAAAGCAGCTAAATTAAAAGCTCTAAAACAGCCCTGAGAGAGTGGAGGAGCTGTTTTTACACCATGAAATATATCCTATTTTATGTGTATCCATTAATATATTATAAATATATAAAATTACAGTCATTATTCTCATGTGAACGTTATCCCTTTAAACTAGTTTAGGGAAATGTGCAGTCATCTGCAAACTATCACTTCTACGGCTGCCAGAGTCTTCTCCTCTGTGCTCCGTCGGCTTCAGAGCGCTCAGACCTCCGCTTCACATCCCTTGCTCCCCCGGGCGCACTCACCTAACTTTTGCGGCCACGGAAGAAATCGCATCACTCCTCAGATTCTTCCTTTTGGACACCGCAGTTCCCATGCTGAAGTGGAAACAACCCAGGGGAGAAAACGCAGACCATTCCACAGATTGGTCGGCGAAGGATGCAGACAAGAGAGGAAAAAACCGCGAGGAAACGGCAAAATGAGAAGCATCAGTGCGCACGGCCCACGAGCTCAATCATCTCATGTTCATCTCGGTGTTTAGAAAGAGAAAGCTGAGTGTTCCAGAGGAGCCGCGGACTCTGCGTAAAGCGCAGGAGCGCAACTGGAAGATGCGGGGAATATGGACCACCGCGCTATGCTCTGCTCTCCTCATCCAACTAACGTGTCCACAAAGGAAGCCAGACCATAAAAGGAAGAGCAGCCCTCGTGGCTGCCGCACAGCGCGGACAGGTGCGGGGTGGGCAACAGCGAGAGGAGGAGAACACGCTGCTTCATTACACGGGTGTATGTGAGATGAAAAGAGGTGTGGACACTCGAGCCCACAAGTAATCACGCCGCTTATTATCTGCAAACGACGCGTGTGGCATTCAGAGACTGTGGGGACAGACGGGCGCAAACAGTAATATCACATTTTAAACCTGCTGAGATACTTCTTGTGTTTTACTTTGTTTCCAACATCGTGAGTGGGGCTTTTTAAAATTCTCTGTCTGAGGTGACATATCAGTGAGATGTGGCAAAGCTTTTACATAAAACGACTCACATTTGGTAACATTTGGGTTGGTGTGACAGCATACTGCGCAGTTATAATGTTTTATATGTGTGCTGTACTTTGATCCCATTTCCCATACACGTTTCTGCTATTAGGAATTATTGTTCACTCTGATAGTTCTCTTAACAAGCAAAAGCATCTGAGAATGGAGACTGCATTAGTACATTATGTGGGATGTGGCCCAGTCTGAACTCTAGCAGTTCCAAGTGTCTGTGGTTTAGTGGGTCACTTGTTAGTACTGATCCTCAAAAGAGGGTTAGCAATCTGTCACTCCCAAAACTCTGCTTTTATTTGGTGTTTGTTTAGAGGTCTGCAAACATCAAGTGAGTGTGAGTCACTCAACTAGAACATACAGAATGTACAAGAAACTTTGCTAATGCAAGGGTGGTAATGTCCTATTTTTCATTAGCAAAGCCTTTAACCTCCTAAGACCCGAACTCTTCCACAGCATGCATTTTAAATTTATCTTTGATATTTGGGCATATTGGGACCCAGTGAATGTAAAAACAAAGAATAACCATATTTTTTTTTTACCTGATTTTTGTTTCTAAGAAAAATGAGGGCCACATATGAGAATATTCATTAGAAATTTTGATAGAACAGTAGCAGTATAATGTCCTCGTAAGTGGATATCAGACCCCTGTAGAGCACAATTGAGTATTTTGGTCTAAATAACCCAAAATGTGATGTCCACATATGTGGCTGCCAGGTCCTAGGAGGTTAAGTCAAGTCACTTCAATTATCAGCTAGTTCAGTTGGGAAAAAATGTACTTGTTGTCACAGGTTTGAATGCTCTTGCAGAAGATAAAGATGGCACAAATCTGTTACTCTTCTCACAAATAATAATGTTTAATTTTGCTCTGAGTCCTGTGACATGTTCAGGATGTACCCCAAATTTCAGGTGGGATAGACTTCAGCCCCTCAGTGACCCTGAATTGGAATAGCAGTTGAGAAAATGTTCCAGCTGATGAAAGGATAGTACAGTTATCTAGGTCCTTATGTATTTGGACAATGACACAATTTTTGCAATTTAGCTTTCATGCACTATTTTAAGTCCATGATTTAAGTGCAGATGTTCAATTTTAATTAAAGTGGCTTTACAGCCATTTTCCTGCACTTTCAGAGGTACAAAAACAATTGGACAAACTAACATAATTTAAAACATAAGCATTGTTTTTAATCCTTGGATGAAGATTGTTTGCTGGCAGTGGCTGCAAACCCATGTAACATCAGCATGTGCTACATTTCTTACTTTCGCATTATCTGTTAGGTCGTTATTGCAGCAGCAGTTATTTGCTGCTTGTTTGTGGTGCTTACTGAAGGAAAAACTGAAGGCAGAAATTGAAAAGCACGATCTGTTGGGTGGAGATAATGTGACTGAATTGGCCATTGAAGGCTATCCCATTTCTTTGCCTTCACAAACCCACTGGTTGCTTTTGTAGTGTACTTTGGCTCATTATTTTTTTAACTGTGAATTTCTGTCCACATAGTTTTGGAGCATTTGGCTGAATCTAAGCAGAGTATAGCCTTGTGCACTTCACAGTTCACCCTGACATATCTATTAACAGTCACACACTTGTGACCGCATTCGACATACCAATGCAATAACATTACCTCCACCATGTTTGTTTCAGATGCATGTTTTTCTCTTCCCATCATTCTGTTTTTTGTTTGTTTGTTGTTGTTTTTCTGTTTGTTGATCTGAATTGATCTTTGGTGTAAAAAAAAATCAATAGTACAAAGAATCATAGTAACCAAAATTTAGGCCTAATGAAGAAAAAGTTATGGGATCACCAAGTCATTGGAATTTAAATGATAATTGTTGATGAAACTTTCCTGCTAATTAATCAGAGATAGAGATGATCAGAGTGATTAGTCATTAGAGCCACAAATGTATCAGTTCAATTATTGTAATCTGATAAACAGTTGCCTTTTGCCCTTTGTTTTCTTTTTATCTGCTTTCTTGCTTGTTCCTTGTAAATGAACATATGCAAATACACAAAAGCATGAAGCAAAAATGCAATGTGCATTGCTATAAAATTCAATATGAAATGAGGTTTCTCTGCGACTCGAAAATACATAGAAAGTTCTCTCAATATATCTCCTCTGGCCTTTGCTGGCAGCACTGAGTGCCCTACTTTTGAGGAACAGGCCAGTCTACATGCAATTAAGAAATATGAATGTTTTAAATTAACATGGTTTGTGTTAAATCTGCACTCTGTAATAAGGGCTATCCACAACAGTGCTTTATTGTGGCATTTTGTATTATAAAATGACTCAACTAATTTTACTTTCTGGTCATTCACATGATGGCTAACTTACTTTGGGACATTGCAATAGCTGAAGATTTAACCAACTGGATGGTACCTCCAAGCAAATAATCAAAAGCTGCTGATGGTGATTAGATTAGGTTAACAGTAGACCACAGCAGAACAGAAAAACAGAAGAAAATCAATTTCCACTACCACTATTGTATCTATTGACCTGGGAGTCTTGCAGAATATGTTTTGCTTACCGGGAAAACAAAATCAATTTAATGTCAATATTCAACCATTGTGGAAGAAGCCAATTCATCTCCCTATTGTGTTTATGAAAGCATGTAAGATATGTAACATAATGCTCATGACCTTTCAGATTTCTGTCCACTTGGAGTGTGGATACTCTGGGGCTCAAGGCTAACACTTAGGATTATCACCCTGAGTGCTTGGGCAGGGATTTGTAAGCCCCTGATTCTAATATAAGGAAAAAAATCAGAATGTCACTGCTAATGAAATGTGTGGGCACAACAGACTAGTGTTTTGTTTTTGTTTTTTCCCTGCATGGACATTTCTTAATTCAACACACAGAATAATAGCTGGGTAATTGGAACTTCAATATAGCACTGGCAACATTATTTTTTGATGCATCCAAAAAATTAACACAACATGATCTTTATGCTAAATGGCCTAGAGGTGCAGTAGTGAGTGTTATCTTAAAGCATGAAACCTGCATGGGTTTTCACTGAGGATTATTGTGTCACTGTTAATGATGACTTTTTTTTTTTTTGAGTTAAAAGTAGTTTTAGTTAGAATGATTATTTTCTTTGTTTCCCCAGTGGTGCTTTGTCCAGGGCGTTCCCTTCCTTTTGCATCACTTGGGGTATGTTGAACCTATATTCTTTCCAATGGCCAACAGGGGGCAAATCCTCTGGTTTAATAGGAACCACTATTGTATAAAACAATCCATTCTTTAAGCGGTGACGTATGAACCCTGCTTCTGGGTCCAAACTACTATTTATTTATTAAAGCTGTTGTGTTTTTAACATGTTTTATTGTTTTGTATCTTGTTCTATTTCATCTGAACAAGCTCCTGAAAACAGTCACTGATCACTGTCGGCCTCTCTGTGTTTTTATTATCACTATTTGTTTTAAAGCTCGATTTTTAAAACCTTACGCTATAACTACAGCCCAGCCCATGCAGCAGAATATTAATGACTAACCTTGTATTGTGGATGGATTATCTCAGTTGTTCCCCTGACTGAAGCTTGGTCCGTTTACATGATCCTGCCATGCGATTGCATTTGTCCTTAACCATCGTCAGTATTGGGCAAGTTACTTTGAAAAAGTAATTAATTATAGTTACTAGTTACTTCTTCAAAAAAGTAACTGAGTTAGTAACTGAGTTACAAGATTCTAAAAGTAATTAATTACTTGAAAAGTAACTATTGCGTTACTTTAAAAAAAATTTAACCCTCTCGAGTCCAGGGTATAATTGGCCATTTTTACCTACTTTTTGATTTGACCTCTACATTTCACCTTTAAAAACTATTTACTGTGCCTTGTTTGGTATCATTCTTTTCAGCACAACCTCACGTGTCTGAATTTACAGTTGTGTTTTCATTTTGACATACTGTATTAACATAATTGATCTAAAATCAGACAAAACACATAAAGTCAGAGTAGAAAAAGTTATATTTTTTATTGTAACAACCACAGACATGTTTATTGAATCATGTTTCATACATTAAATGCAAACATAAATTGTCAATTTTTTTAATCATATGCACAACTTGCATTAAACACAACACAAGACTTCTGGAAAAATGTCTTTTGGACCACCTCGGTTATGCAGAAGTTTGTAAAATAGTGATGAAAACAATAATCTATGTTTTCATGTTCATGAAAGTCACTGTCATGAACATGAAGTCATGATTAAATTAAGTTGATTTAAATGAAGTCATCGTAGGCATCTTAACAGACAAGTTTCCTCTTGCTAACCACCTTGGCCAATATGTGTGATACAGAAAACATGGATGAAAAAGTTGTTAAAAACTCCTTTAGTACATAAGCAAGGAAAATGTTGATGTTAATGGAGAGGGGAAAGCAGCTATACCCATGTCTGGCCTAAAAAAAAGGGAAGTTGACTAGGTACAGGCTCTCAACACTATCAGATTGCACACAATTAATTTTAATAGATATGTTGTCCTCACAGGACATATAATGAATTTAGTAAATACTTTATATTCAAGTAAATTTATATTCAAGTAAATGAGCTCAACCTTAAACATACAGTCAGGGAAAAAATGATTTGAACTGAAGCTGACTTTATAAGTTCCCCCACTAACAAAGAAATGATCTGTCTATAATTTTAGTGGTAGGTTTATCCGAACAGTGAGAGACAGAACAACAACCAAAAAATACAGAAAAATGCATTTCAAAAAAGTTATAAATTAATTCGCATTTTCATGAATGAAATAAGT